TTATTATTAAATGTATTAATTGTTATTTTAAGCGAAGACCATTACTTTATGAGTCACCATATTAAATGTTACATGCAGTTAGAACACATCACAACAAGGCAACATTTTGTGCATACCTTTAAATGAATGTCATGTTTTACAAATATTGAGTTTCTTACACTTCACCGGTGAATGCAATCTGGTATTTCTCCTATCAAAATCAGTGCAGGCACACAGTAGTCGCCAAACAGGGACTGTCGTAAAGAACAAGCAAATCTGTACAGAGCCCCTCCTTCAAAGAACCACCAGTCTGTAAAGACTGACGATTGGCTATTTTGACTGGAAGGCGGGAAGGCCATATTGAGCGTTGCACTTTTCCCCATTCATAGTAATACGAGTGGACCATCTTTGTATATCTATAATCTTTGGCTGCGCTTATGAACACTTATACTTTAATATGCATTATACCATGGTCTGTCTGAATACTCTATTCTGATTGGCTGGCAGGTATGCATTAAAATCGTTTAATGCACAGCTAGCTGTGCATTATCTCTTACTTATACAGAGGCAAGATGAAAAGAAAATAGCATCTAAATTTTTCTGAAGAGTCAGTTCCCCTCAGAGATACATATAAACTCCCACCCCCAACTGTATCGCGATTCATTTAACATCTCAACCGACTTGAATCGTCACATATTTATATAGATTTTCAACCGGCTTGAGGTGCATCGATACATCCATACTTATTGTAGAGTTAACGAAAGTTATCATGAGCACTGTAATGTTTGAAGCGTATGTCATAACAAATGTCAGTAGACCGGGAAGATTTTAAAACCAACGGATCTTTCATTAATTCGTAAGATCTTACCTTCATGCTGTAGGAAATACAAAACCGGAAGACAGAAGACAACAAATGCAGCGATGAAAAGGGGCGGAGCTACATAAGGTCTATATTGCAAAGAATTATTGCTCTTTATTATTTGAACAAACCCCTAACACTAATAAGCAACCACATAAGTCACTCTTAACACCCAGGCAAACAGTGTGCTAAACACTTAGAACACTCAGCAACCAGTTAACAGTGTGCTACAGTCGTGTATGCTGTGTTCTGATTAGCTAACTTTCTATCCTAAGTATTCAAAATTAGAATTAGTGTGTCCCAATCGTATTATGTTGAAATGAGTATCCCAAAGGTACCTGGATGGTCTACATATCAGTGTGCTAAAAGAACACTCAGGACACTGTAACAAACACATAGCAATGTGCTAAAATAATCCGCACATTCTAGCAACCACATAGCAATGTGCTGAACAAAAACAAAGAATATCTCTTTGGATTTGAGACTTTAGTCTTTGCAACTTTACAGATCTTCTTTATGCACCAAGAGCTTGTAACACTCCAAAGAGAAAGGAAAAATTTAAATCGCATCATATGACCCCTTTAATCTCAGAACTGAATACACACTACAGATTGAAATGTACAAACACGTGGCATATTTTCTTTGTTTTGCTTTTCTGTGAGCTAGCCAATATATCTCCATTAAATCAATATCTTTCACCAATAAGAGAATAGCATAGTGGTTCTCGAAATGCTCAATTATGTTTTTGTTATGAGGAAGATTAATTATGTTGGAGGAATGCTATACAGAAACAGTGGCGATGACACGCCGCTCACAATGAAAGAGCTGATTCTGCAAAAACAAGCCTTCTGTTCAGAGCCGGAGAGAGTTAAATATGCTAGAGTCTGCACTTTCTCGCCTTTTTTCTTCTTTCATCGGCTGTCGTGAATACAGTCGATAAGGGTGTGAGTGTGTGTGTGTGTGTGTGTGTGTGTGTGCTTTACCTCATACCTCGTCAATATAGTATTGTTCAAACAAAATGTTAGAACACTGTGTAGATGGCACTGATTTTCACTGGCATGCTTTATGGAGGAGTGCATTTTTGGAGATTTCCACTCAGCTAAATATTACAAATAGATAAAGTGTATATATATATGATTAAACAACGTGACCAATGGATAGTGCACATTTTCTTTTTTATTTTAAATATTTTACATATGCATTCATATATTCATTTCAGAAATTGTATAAACCTTTATCTTTTTTGCTATTATTAAATTTTATTATGTACAGTAGGGTCAGAAAGTCTGAAACCACTAATGTAAACGTTTCTGTTTGGCTTTTTCTTATTTCATTTTATTTACAAATTGTATATTGTCACTCTATAATGATCAAAAGAGCATTTTACAGTACTTCAATGGAGGCAAGAACACCTGACCTGACAAAGGAGCCACATGGTCAATATTACAAATTTACTTATTTAATTAGTAATATAAAAAATAATATAAATAGAATATAATTCTAGAATATGCAGCATATAATTACAGGTATCTTATTATAATCTGTAATATTATATCTTATATGATTCTTATTCATGGCATAGTGGTGAATACAGCTGAAAAAGTTGTTGGTGGTGGTGGTGATGCTAGTACAGTGTTTTCTTAAGCTTCCTTATTTCCGTCCACAGTGAGATTCAGTCATTTTTCTCCCAAAGCATTCTGCATGCTGCAGCTTGGCTAGTCCCGAGGTGCTCATTTTCATCCCTTCCTCCATTTTTCCTTCTTCTAACAGCTTGTACTACCCGCTTGCAGAGTTCCACACACTCTCTCTCTCTTTCTCCGTCTCTCTTGCTCGCTCTCTCTGTTTCTCGTCTTCTCCCTCGCTGCTGTGAGGTTCTGAGGGCAGTCATGACTGCTCTGTTTTGGGTGCTGAATCTCGGTGTTGTTTTTGACTGGCATTGAGCGCCGGTTGATCGTTCTCGGACCAGGAACAATCTTCAGAGTGGCCCAGGAAAGGGCCACCAACCAAAGGACTATGCTTTGAGGGTACTGCGGTCACTCTTGAGCTCAGAGAGAATGAGATAGCGTTACAAACAACCCATTAACCATTCTCCTGAAGAAGGTAGGTGGAATTTACCTGGTTATGAATTTGCGGACAGTGAGTCTGAATTTCAGGGAGAGGTTGTTTTTATTGTTTTGTATGATTAATAGGTATTGTAAGGTTTGTGAGGGTGTTGGTCTGGATGCACAAATTTTAGAACTGGATTACACTTTGTTATCATCATTGTTAGGGAAAATGTTGGCATTGCTTTGAAATGCAAATTCCGCTGTTATTGGTATATTTGGGTGTTTTTTTTTTGTTTCATTATTTAGAGTCGAATCATTGTTCTGAGCGTTACATGACTGCCTCGGGCTCATCGCACTAGTGCTGTAGTAATCTGTCAGCTTACAGGCCGTACAGATGAAATCTGAGTGTTACGATCACTATGCCACAGATCACAGTTATATTTTATGAATTATCAACATTTGTAGTGTACAGGTTCCATTTTTACCCCTGTGGAATCTACGTTTCTTTGAATTGTTTGAAGCTGCCTCTGCCTGTCATTGGAAAAGCATTTGATGACTTACTGACCATAAGCATTTCAGCTCCAGTGTTGCTCCAGTCGTTGTACAGGAAAAAGAACAGTGTTTTAAGCTTTTTACACATCTCTAATGAGGAACATATACGGCAACAAGAGTTTTATCTACATTTAACATTTTTTCTCTCATTGTGCACTAAAATACAAATAGTCATTGACCCTTATGACTGGTTTTGTGGTCCAGGGTCACATACTGTATAATGCTGTAAATCACACAGTGTTTACATATAATAAATATACACTCACCAGCCACTTTATTAGGTATACCTTGATAGTACCGGGTTGGAACCCCTTTTGCCATCAGAACTGCCTTAATTCATGAACATTCAAACATGTCACATTCAGTCACTTAAATCAACTTTCTTCCCAATTCTGATGCTCGGTTTGACCTTCAGCAGATTGTCTTGATCAAATCGACATGCCTAAAGGCCAAAGTATACTTCGGTTTTTACGATGGTCCACGTATAGTGTGCATGATGCAAATTTTGTCACCAGAAGAGTACATGCGTACGCGCACCATCCGATTTTTGTAGAAGATGCACTGATACAAAATTTCTCAGCCGATACCGATAGCTGATTATTCAGAATGATATCTGCCGATACTGATAGTTTAGTTTTCTAACGGAAAAAAATCGCTCCCAACTAATGCTGTAAATATCAGCAACCTTAGTTTAAAAGAGTACAAAGACATTTTTATCGGTCATATCTTCTGGAGAAAAACAGAGCAGACACTGGACAAAGATGAAGCTTTCTAGAGCATATGTGTCGACCACCTGTGTTCGCGTACACCTCAAATGGACTATACTTTGAAAGGCTACGCGTACGATTGTGTGCATATGCTTGGCCTTAAGTGCATTGAAGTGCCGACATCAGATTGGCTGATTAGATTTTTAACAAGCAGTTGAAAAGATGTACCTAATAATGTGGCCGGTGTGTGTACATTTCAATAGAGTATCTACTGTACATTCATTTAGCAGACACTTTTTTAGCAGTATAGTGTTAATCTACAATTTAGTATCTGCTTTACAACTTGTTTATTTATAAAGGTTTATTTTAAAGGATTATTTATATGTTGTTGTGCACATAGATGGTTTTATTATGTGTGGACTGAGCTCTTAGGTTCTCATTAATTTACAAATAATTATAAGTACCACATAAACGAGCACTTATGCCAAAAATGTGCTTTACATATAAAGTAGAACGTGTCATACATATTGTTTAACTTCATGTTTAAGTGTTTCTAGAAACACAATAATTGCTTATCAGTTTGCTATTTACATGTCTGCATGTTTCTTGTGCCACTTCTTTATTGTAAACTTCTGCCCATTTTCTAGAATCCAAAAGAGTTTTGTTTAAATGGTTTATTATTTTATTTTTAATGAATTCTGTCTTCCTGTAGCTATGTTTTGTGGTGATTGATGAGTGTTATGTCTAGCTAAGCTATGTTTACACTTTGTTTACACTCCTCCACATGTTTACACATTTCCTGTGCTTTTTCATTTCTCCGTTATTGGCAAACGTTCTCGGCTTGCCTTGTTCCTGCAGGGTTCAGCCGATTCATACACGAGCAGACCTTCGGATTCCGACCTGTCAGCGGAGGAGGACCGCGAGGCGTATCGGCGTGAAGCCGAACGCCAGGCCCAGCTGCAGCTCGAGAGAGCCAAGGTTCCTCAAGCTCTTCTTTAATGAGCTTTTTCTATTTTTTTGCATAGTGGGCAACAACAAAGTGTCAGTCTGCATGTAGCTTTAGAAATGTGTTGGGACGGGATCATCCATACAAATGTGCTTAGAGTAAACATTTTATAAGCATTTAGATCAATATTGTAAACTTTAAGAGGATCATTTCATCGTTTCTTGATAGTTGCTTATGTTGAAGTACTCGTTGCTGCAGGCAAAAAATTATAATTGTAAAAATGCAAATGATGTTATTAACGTTGATTTCCCTGGCAGTCCAAACCTGTAGCGTTCGCAGTGAAGACGAATGTGAATTATTGCGGGGCTCTAGATGAGGACTGTCCTGTTCAGGGTGCTGCCATAAACTTTGAAGCCAAAGACTTTCTGCACATTAAAGAGGTGAGTTGCATGTACAATACATGCAGACAAATGTGTAAAAGGTTTTGCAGGTCAGTCCTTCTTGCTAACAGTGCCCATAATAATGCATCATAATAGTGCTGAGCATGTTTTTCCTTGTGTTTGTGTTGCAGAAGTACAATAATGACTGGTGGATTGGAAGGCTGGTGAAAGAGGGGGCAGACATCAGCTTCATTCCCAGCCCCCTCCGACTGGAGGCCATGAGACTGAAACAGGAGCAGAAACAACAGAGGTCTCTCTTTCTCAAGACTGTGAACAGTTGCATCTATTTCAGAAGTTTAATCCATGAAAACATTTGATTACATATGGACACGTTTGCAGGTCCATTAAATTATATTAACAGATAGAACTTTTGATTTTAGTAGTTTATTAGTAAATATTGCAGTTTACATTAACTAAGATTAATACATGCTTTAGAGGTATTGGTCATTGTTAATTCATGTTAACTAATTTTGTTAGCTACTGCTAAAAAAATAGTTCACCCAAAAATGGAAATTTGCTGAAAATTCAGGCCATCCCAGATGTAGATGAGTTTGTTTCTTCATCAGAATAGATTTGGAGAAATGTAGCATTACATCACTTGTTCACCAATGGATCCTCTGCAGTGAATGGGTGCCGTCAGAATGAGAGTCCAAACAGCTGATAAAAACATCACAATAATCCACAAGTAATCCACACCACTCCAGTCCATCAGTCCATCAGTTAATGTCATGTGAAGTGAAAAGCTGCATGTTTGTAACAAATCCATCATTAAGGTGTTTTGACTTTAAACCATTGCTTTTGGACAAAATATGGGTCCATAATCCATAATAACACTTCCTCCAGTGGAAAAAGTCCATCCTCTGTTGTCGTCTCACATCAAAACCCACAGGCATATTTGTTTAAAACTGTTTTGGGCTGTTTCCGCTTGTAACTGGTGCTTGATCTGTGCATATTTCTCGCCTGATTTAGACGAGACAACCTTTTCAGAAAACATTATTATGAATAGAGGGCTAATATTTTAGACGTAAAGGTTTGAAGTTAAAAACATCTTAATGATGGATTTGTTTCTTACAAACATGCAGTTTTTCGCTTCACAAGACATTAACTGATGGACTGGAGCGGTGTGGATTACTTGTGGATTATTGTGATGTTTTTATCAGCTGTTTGGACTCTCATTCTGACGGCACCCATTCACTGCAGAGGATCCATTGGTGAGCAAGTGATGCAATGCTACATTTTTCCAAATCTGTTCTGATGAAGAAACAAACTCGTATTTCATTTTTGGGAAACTATTCCTCAAATGGAACCTTGTTGTAAGGTGTTACCGAATTTATTTAATGTTTTTCTTAATCCTCTTATTATTTAAGCTATATCTTTTGTTGCACACATATCAAGTTGTCTCATATAAAATCTAACCACCTACCAAATCTGATGATTGAGTCCCTTTATCCTTATAGGAAAGCAAAGTGTCCAGTGGTTGCACATGTCAGAATTATACATGCAGTGGGTCGTGTATTGTTCCAGTACTGCTTTTTGCATACTATGCAGCTGGGAATTGAGATTGTCCAACTACAGATGCCAAAATATGTCTCAATGATAATATTTTAATGAAGCTGACAATTCTGGTAATGTCCAGAATAGCTTACCAGCTCTGTAAAGGCATTTGCTGTTGCTCTGTGATGGTGATAATGTTTGTCTTTCTCCGCAGGAAAAGCGGTAACTCCTCCTCAGGCCTGGGCGACATGGTATCAGGAGGTTGGAGATCCACGCCGCCATCTGCAGGTGAGAGTAAGTATGACAGGGCCTGGGTGCCATGCTGCTTTGCAGGGGGGGGGTGTGGCTGGGAATGCTGCCCCAAATGAGCAAAATATCAGTAGGGCTGAAGATCAGTGAGTTTATTCTTCCCTTGCTTTTGTTCTTATTCTTTGCTCCTCTTCTTAACGTAATGCATGTTCTGTCGCAGGTTAAGCTTCCACTGTCAAATACAATAGAATAACCCAGTAAAACACCAGTAAAAGTTCAGAATAGAGTAAATATTAGAAATGTTGCTTCTAAAATCTTCTGAATGCTGATTCTGATGTGTTCTCTTGTTTTCAAAAGCCAAACAGAAGCTAAAGCAGGTAGGTGTGTTGATATGGATTTGTGTTAGATATCTTATAACAATCTCTCCTTGAGATTGGTCAGATTTGAGAAAATAATTTATTGAGGTGCTTATAGCTTATAGCCTTTGGCATCTCTGCCCAAAAAAAGACACAAAACTGCTAAAAAAAAATACTACTGTGTTTGGGTTTGGTATGATTTTTTAAATGTTGTTTTATGTTATGTTTTATGCTCACCAAGGCTGCATTTTTTTAAATTAAAAATATAGTAAACAGTAATATTGTGAAATATTATTACAATTTTAAACTGTTTTCTATTTAAATATATATTTATAATTGCAATTTATTCCTGTGATGCAAAGCTGAATTTTCAGCATCATTACACCAGTCTTCAGTGTCACATGATCCTTCAGAAATCACTCTAATATGCTGATGTGATGATCAAGAAACATTTTCTTGAAAACTCTTGTGCTGCTTACATTTTTGTGGAAAATGTGATACATTTTTTTTAACTTTTGATCAATTTAATGCATCCTTGCTGTATAAAAGTACGTCTTCTTACTGGCCCCAAACCTTTGAACAGTATTGTATGCCAGAACAAGGCCTCTATTTATTTGAATGACTGTTAAGACTTTTTTAGAGTACCGTGCATAAAATATCCGTAAATTAGATGTCTTAAAGTCTGCATGAAATCATAATGTACACTATTTACTTTGTTAGCGCACATTGCTAGTCTTGAGGTGAACAATTAATCTGTGCAATTCAATCCACTGAAAAAAAATTGCCTTGCTAATCAAAATCTGAACATTTGCTTCCGCTCTGGAATGGCGTTCCTTCTCTGATGACGTCAGTTTAATGGCTTGGGTAGAATATCCTTAGACATGACACTCCAACCGTTAGGAAAGGATATGCGCTAAAATAAAACCCTGCCCTATATTCAATATTCCATTTCAGTTGGAAATATGTCACAATACTGAAGTAAAGTCAGCAGCAACTTCTGGTTCACGCAGACTTTAAGAAATCGCACTTGTTTCTGTGACAGCTCTAGATGCTGTAAACAATAAGACAATGTCTGGCAACGTCTGATGCATCTCAGAAAATATAGCAGTTTGTACCACGAATGTTGCCAGTCTGTGCTGATACATTACGGAAACCGTTCCTAATCCAGGTTTGTAGTTGTAGTTAATGCTGTAGTTCTATATAACATTGCCACTCTTGTCTTTCTCACTTAGACTGAACACATTCCTCCATATGATGTGGTGCCGTCCATGAGGCCTGTGGTTCTGGTTGGACCTTCACTGAAGGGCTACGAGGTGAGCACTAAACATTATACAGCCTTCTGAATTGGTCTTTTAAATTCGTTGTCTCATGTGTCGTGACTGTCAACAGGTGACAGATATGATGCAGAAAGCCCTGTTTGACTTTCTCAAACATCGCTTTGATGGACGGTGAGTTTTAAAAGACATCTTGGCACATTTTTGGTCTGTATACGACGTATAAGAATATTTTGTCAACTTTTACTCATTCTTACGTCTTTATGGTGACAGTATTTGTCAAGTTCATAAAAATAGTCTCTACAACTCATGTGATTGTACTTCATTTATTTGAAAGCCATACAATAGTTTTGAGCAAGGGATCTTTCTTTCACATCATTAAGTGCACTAATGTATTGTTATGCGGACAGGATTTCTATAACCAGAGTGACCGCTGACCTTTCTTTGGCTAAGAGATCGGTTCTCAACAAGAGACCCATCATGGAGAGGTCTAACACACGAACCAGTTTGGGTGAGAGCATCACAAACTAAAGATGTGCTATAATGTACACCCTTCAGTGCTCACCAATAAAGATGGCTCAAGGCCAGAACGTCATGTGCCCATGTGTTGATATTGCATACTCAATTGGTTTTATGCGATGTACCGATCACTGTTGTCGCAAATTCTGTAAAAAACTGTAAGAATGAAAACGGCATCTGGCAGATTAAGTTAAAAATTGTTCAAACTAGCAGACAAAATCTGTATCGTTGAGCTCTGTCGTTACATTAGAGCTTTTGAGCATTTTCTCCCTTTTTTGTTCTTGGGCTTAATGTTTTATGGGCGCTATTTGTCTGTTTGCCCACTCAGCGGAGGTACAGAGTGAGATCGAGAGAATATTTGAGCTGGCCAAAACCCTTCAGCTGGTGGTTCTAGATGCGGACACCATTAACCATCCAGCACAGCTAGCTAAAACCTCGTTAGCTCCTATTATTGTGTACGTCAAAGTCACCTCTCCAAAGGTAAGTCTGATGATCACATGTACACTGTTTAAAGGAATATGCTGAAAATATATTTTAAAAATAGCTTCCGCTCTGTCAACAGCAAAATACACTGAACACAATTATAAACTATATTAATAAATTATATAAATTTTTATAAAAAAAAAAAAAGTGTTTTTGCCCCCATTTTTCATGAGCTGAACTCAAAGATCTAAGACTTTTTCTATGTACACAAAAGGCCTATTTCTCTCAAATATTGTTCACAAATCTGTCTAAATCTGTGTTAGTGAGCACTTCTCCTTTGCCGAGATAATCCATCCACCTCACAGGTGTGGCATATCAAGATGCTGATTAGACAGCATGATTATTGCACAGGTGTGCCTTAGGCTCACATTTTAGAGTGGCCTTTTATTGTGGCCAGTCTAAGGCACACCTGTGCAATAATCATGTTGTCTAATCAGCATCTTGATATGCCTCACCTGTGAGGTGGATGGATTATCTTGGCAAAGGAGAAGTGCTCACTAACACAGATTTAGACAGATTTGTGAACAATATTTGAGAGAAATAGGCCTTTTGTGTACATAGAAAAAGTCTTAGATCTTTGAGTTCAGCTCATGAAAAATGGGGGCAAAAACAAAAGTGTTGCGTTTATAATTTTGTTCAGTGTAGATACTTCATTGTCAAAACTAACCCAGTTTCTTTGATTTCTCTTTGTTATTGGCAGGTCCTACAGAGATTGATAAAGTCGAGGGGTAAATCACAGAGCAAACACCTCAATGTTCAGATGATGGCAGCAGATAAACTGACTCAATGTCCTCCTGTAAGTTCTTGAAGTTTAACACAAACACACATGCATCATTTAGAGAGGTGTTTTACAACACTGTAGATTCAACATTACTGTTAGTATGGTAATGTTGTCAGGATCCATTTTTCATAGATAATAGTTTTGGATTTTTACAATATTTCCTTCCCCTACAAAAGAAGGAGATAGGCTGAAGTTTTTAGGGCTGGCAAAGTATTGCATTATATACCGAAAAAGGTAGCAAAAAATAATTTTCCACAAAATTATTGACTCCCCCTAATTTTGGTCCAAATCCTCATTTTGTTCTCTGGAACACAAAAGATATTTTGAGAAACCATAACGATTGCTCTTTTCCGTGCAATTACAAGAAATAGGGACTGGAGCTTTCAAGTTTTAAGGACACAAAAGCACCATAAAAGTATAAGCAATGTCTGATTCTTGAGTCTTTTTCAGGGGTGTTTGTAATGAATTGGTTCATTTCTGAATGTTCTTTCACGTAGCCTCACAAATAAGAGCTAGGGTGGATGTTACTATTTTCATAACTTTTGTTTCTCATGCAAAGCTATTGCATTGTTTCAGGACACTTGTTGACTTTTATGGTGCTTTTGCTTCCTTTTTGAAGCCTGAAAGTACCCATTCATTGCAATTGCATGGAAATTGGAGCTACACAAGGGTGCATAAATGACAACAGTATTTAATTGTTTTGATGAAATATTCAAAATCTATAACATAATTTAGCTGTTGTCCTCTATATAAATAAATATATATATATATATATAAATAGACCTGATTAGTTTTGCAAGGATTGCAAGTATGAGAACTGCAGGTTTTAAGGGCATTTCATTTAGGGCACATCTGTTTGACTAAATTGTCTTTTTATTGTGTGTTATTTGGAAATGAAGGTAAATTCTAGTCTCACATTGTTAGTGATCGGGTGTAATTTTAAATGTTTGTTCTTCATTCTCACTTGATTGACTGGCCTTGCTACAGTTCTAGTGCTGTAGATGCTTGCTTTTTCAAACCACATTCTGACAAAAATCATGTTGCATGTTGTTCCATAGAGCCATTATCCTACCTGTCGCTCAACGTCATCTCGCATCACCTGACCACCATCATAAGATATTTTATATAATATCTTCTAATTCCATCCCCCGCATGTCATCTTCTCCTCCACCCTGTCTCCCCATCAGGAGATGTTTGATGTCATTTTGGATGAGAACCAGCTGGAGGATGCCTGTGAGCACCTCGCTGAATATCTGGAGGTCTACTGGCGTGCCACTCATCTGCCCGGCACCACCCCTCTCAACCAATTGGAGCAAAATCTGATGACCCCACCCTCAGCAATCTCCAGTCTACAGGTAAGGTGGCTTTGTGTGAATGGGCGGAAACATTTAAAGAGTTTCAATATGTGACCCTGGACCACAAAACCAGTGTCAAATACCCCAGCGACTTAAGACTGCTTTTGTGGTTCAGGGTCACATATAAAGATATGTAGGAGAGCTATATGTTAATTTTCATGTGCCTTTGACTCTCAGGATAATCAAAGTAAGTTTACACAAAGGGATTGCAAAACTAGTGTAATGGCACATCTTTAAGAAAACTTAACACATTAAATCACAATATTCACAATACCCAGCAAATATATGATAAATATTCAGTGTATTGGCTTTATTATTTAAAAATGCAATGACTACATTTTTAAAAAGGAACAAGTTAGTTAGACTAGAGGCCACCAGACTTAGTATGTGTCCTCATCGATCAGCCAGGAAAGAGTCCAGAGACTGTGCTAAACATAATCATCTAGAATATAGATGGTATTTGTATCAGGTTTGAGAAACATATCTTATATTTGTGATGTATAAATCCTTGTATGTATCCACCTTATTTAAGATCCTATCTAATTTATACAGCTGACCTCGAAAGTCAGAAAGTTGCAATTTCACAGAAAATGGTTTCAGGTCACAACTGATTTTCACTGGTATATGGGACACAGTTTGTAAGATAGACAGGCACTGTGGAACTTATTTGTAAATTAAAAAATGCAAAATAAAGGTATTGGCACTAGAGTTCTCAGACTTTTGGAACCCCCTGTATATTTAAAACGTGTGACTCCATTATACTCTTCTGCGTTAAGTAATAACTGGTCAATCCTATATTGCGTTTAACAAAACAGATGTGTAATTTTAAAACTGATAATAATTGTTCTTTTTGACAACAGGAAAGTGGTCATTAAATGTTTGTCTGTTCTGTCCTTTCCTCTACTCCATATTTTCACTCTGTCTTTTAGTTGTCTTGGGTCCACAGATGCTTGTAATACTGATATGTTGCAAGTCTCAATCTGTCTGTTCTGTGTCTCATTCATGCCTGACATCTTTGCAGTTCTCTGAAACACAGGAATTAATTGAATGAACGCTTACAAACCTGCGGTGAGTAGGTGGGATGGTCAGTCTACCTTTCCCCACCCTGATACTTCTTTACATCCTCCAATTCCTTCAACACCTCCAAATGGAAATGGCCATCTGGTATCCCCCACTGGAAAAAAAATCATATATCCAAATATATGATTTTGTTATGCTGTTGTTGGTGAGGCATGTAGCTCATTCATAGTTTTTATGTGGCAACAGCATTAGCCCAGTGGGAGTAATACAAAAGCTTTGTTTAAAATTATACAGGCCTTAAAATTACTTTTAATGTTAAGAAAACTCCTCCAAAAGCACATTCAAATGTCCTTTTCAGTATATAGTCAGTGTGTCTTACGGTGATGATACACGGGGCAACTTTTTGGGCAATGTTGCCATCAACGGGCAACCAGGTGAGACACAGGGCACACGACCCATTTAAAGTACCCAGATAGAAATTTGTTGCCCATTCTCAATGGGAAAGTGCCCAAGCTACATCACTCAGCAACACTGCTCAAAAAGTTGCCCCGTGTATCATCACCTTTAAGGTGTAGGCAATGTTTCTGAAGGTGTAGGCGGCATTTCTAGCAGTGTAGGTATTACATCTTTAAGATGTAGGTAGCATTTGTAAAGATGTAGGCAGCATGTCTTTAAAGGGATAGTTCACCCCCCAAAAAATTTACCCCATGATTTACTCACCCTCAAGCCATCCTAGGTGTATATGACTTTCTTCTTTCAGACGAATCCAATCAGAGTTATATTTAAAAAACACCCTGGCTCTTCCAAGCTTTATAATGGCAGTGAATGGGTGTTATTTTTCAATAGTCCAATGAAGCGCATCCACCCATCATAAAAAGTGTCCCACACGGCTCCGGAGGTTAGGGTTAGGGTTACCTAACCATTTGTAAGGGTGTAGGCGGCACATCTCAAGGTGTAGGACAGGGATCTCCAACCCTGCTCCTGGAGAGCTACCATCCAGCAGACTTCAGTACCAGCCCTGTTCAGCACACCTGCCTATAATTATCAAGTAACCCTGAACAACTTAATTAGCTGGTTCAGGTGTGTTTGATTGGGGTTGGAGCTGAAATTAGCAAGACGGTAGCTCTCTAGGAGCAGGGTTGGAGACCCCTGGTGTAGGCAACATTTCTAAAAGTTGAGGCTGAATTTCTAAAGGTGTAGGCAGCATTCCTATGGGTTGGAGGTTAGAAATTAATTGGGTTAAATTCAGGGCAATAGCCACATGCTTTCTGGCACTTCCATTTCACTCCTTTTTGAAACTTTTTCTGTCAAATGATGTAAACCTCAATATGGCAGTGCAAACTTTCCATTTGACAAGGCCTACTTTTTCTATGATTTCTATCGTGTTATGCACTTACCCCTCTACACTTTTCGCTTAATTTGCTGGTATTAGAGCGAGCTGCACACACAGTCATCTCAGACTGCTCTGTTTATGCACCTTGCTGATTGATATTAACACCGTAGAACCTTCATAAGTTGAGTTCACAAAGCAGATACAGCTGCCTGTTTTCCTGTGTTATAAAGAAATGCGTTGATTTTATGACTTTGGAAAAGAGGCTGTATCTGACCACACAGACTGATGCTTTGTGAATGTGACAACCCTTCTAACTTCCCTTTGAATGCAACCTCCTTGTTTCTGAAACTAACCTGAATCTTTTTGCTCCAGAGGAAAATGCGTAGCAATCTATAATGCACAGCAGTTTGATCTTAGACCTAGAACCCAAAGGCTTTGTTCAGACAGGCAGCAAAAATTAGATTCTTGCCACATGTGGCTCAAATCCATTCAGTCTGGACAGCATAAGCACTTCTGACAACCCCAATCCAAAACACATTCATCGATTATGACAGCTTGGACAGTCAGTCTTTAAGATCGGATTAAAAAAACAAATCCGATTTGTGTGCAGTATGAACAAAGCCATAGTAACCAGTCACTTTAAATTTCCTCATTGGTGAAACTTGACTCCTAAAACTTCTCTCCACCTCTCTGCACATTACGTGTTTTATATTTGTGTGTTTTTTGTCTTTACGGGATCTTCTAAATGAGTCATTTTTCTTTGGAGTGAAACAGAAAGAGGAAACGTGTGACCTCAGAATGGTTCAGAGTTGTCATCTTTCTCTTTCTGTCTCAGAACCAGCAGCTGTCGCCTGCCGGGGGTGGAGGGGGAGTGGAGGAGGAGGAGCAGGGGGAGCAGGACAGCCTCATGCCTTCCGACGAGGCCAGTGACTCTCGCTCCCTCCGCCAAGGCGGCTCTAGCTCCCTGCACCCCCCGGAGGATGAGGAAGAGAAGGAGGAGGAAGATGAGGAGGAGGAGGAGGAAGATGATTACGAACCCCACCTCCACCCTCACCCGTACCGGGACGTGTACCCGCCCAACCGTAACCACCCTGGTGGCATCCACAGCGCTAACGGACTCGAGTCACAGGACCGACTCTTGCAGCAGCGAGACTCGCAGGACGGACACAACCAACGAAACAACCGCCAGCGCACGAGAGCCTGGCCAAGAGACAACTACTGAGCGCCTGTCTGGAGGAGAGGGTTGGGTCATGAATTGGGGTGAGGGGTGATGGGAATTGGTGAGGAACTGGAAAGGCACAGTGTGTGTGTGTGTGTTTGAGCGTGTTTGTGGATAAAGTTGCCCATGGTTGACGAAAAGATCCTGTTTGTTTTCGAAGCTCATGTGGTCGTTATTGTTTGAGGCATTGCACTACATTTGCTTTTAAAAGACAGGGCAGCTTTTCTCCTTTAAGATCACATGCATGTTCATATCGAAACAATATTTGAGCTTCCTCTGGAAACCCTAACCCCACATGAGTCAAAAATTACTTTATTATTTTGCGTATCATACGCTCTCCCTGAACCTAATGAGCACAGAAGGCATTATGGGAAAAGAAAAAGCACTTTTATAGCATGGGATGTGAGTCACAATGAAAGATATTGTAGCATTTTGTTGCATCTTACTTTAATGGCTTCTTTTTTGCTAGAGCTCTTGTAAATGTGAATATTACTCACTTTTTTTGGTTCAAGCCCTCAGTCATGGTGTTGCCTGGTTGGAGCCCATATGCACTTGTCTTATTATGAGTTGTTTATTGGTTCTCTGGACATCATTCAGGCAACTCACGTCATTTTCACGGTCACGTTCACAGATGTAGCACACATTGCCATTTGCAAAGCACCATGTAAATGCGGTATATGTAGGAAAGTGTTTGCACATGAGGTGAATTCCAACTCCAGAATGGAGAGCAGCAGTCGATCTTCCTGCATTTCTGTACTGCCTCATAAAGAAAGAACCTAATTAGGTCAGTGTCACTGAAAGTTTCTCTTTCTGGGAAATGAGAAGGACTGAAAACTGAAGTTATGTTATGTTTTCATATAGTAGATCAGTGCCCATATATTGGATTTTTATAGAAGTAGATGAAGCTCATCAGTTTTGATGTCCATTTTGTGATAGTCATGTTGTTCCTCTGTGACCTAAACGAGTAGAAAGTTGGGCTAGGTTCATATATTTTACACATTTGCAAGTAATTTATTGGTTGATCTTATCAGATACAGCATAAGGAGAAAGCCCACTAATAGAAAAATGAATGATGAGAAATCATAACACTCAAAATGGCGTCTGTAGGACAGGAAGTCCCGCCTTTCAAAAGAGCCAATCGCCTTAAGGCATCCTGGTCTGTTTTTGAACTTGCTTGCATATTAGCTAGACTAATCTGATTTATAAAGCTAAAGAAGCTACATTTAGATTTTTGTATCATTGTTTCTGGGTGATTTTAACATTTTTGAAAGGTTGGCAAACAGTTTTGGCAATCTCCATATTAAAGTAGAGAGGAGTTGTACTTGCATGACTGGAAACTAGCATTACCAAAATGGCCACTAAATAAACTGCCTCAGGAGGAATTTGTCTTTAACAAGAAGAATGTGGCTCTAACAAGTGAGTGATCTTCCTCCGTCCTCTGTTTCTCACACTCTTTCCTCTCCGAGGCTTTGGGCATCTAAGGGGGTGGTTACCGTGGCCTACTTTAAAACATAGCGTCACATCTTGCTTTGGCGACACGTTGACTGCTAGCTAGTTTAATGACCTTATTGGTGATTACATAAGCATATATCAGCCAGGTTGTGCTACGACTAAATCCTAGAAAGTTTGTCCCTTTTCTCATTACCTTGACTCTAGACTCGGATGTTACCTATAGCAGCTTAGGCTAAGGTTTATCCAGTGTAGGACCATTCAAACTGGCCTTAATACTTACCTGTATATCTTTACCACTGCATGTCTCAAATACAATTATTTAGGACTATTTGCACATTAGGGTTGGAACAGGAACTTTAGAAAACTTTAAGTATATTAGAGTAGAAAAATCTACTCAGTTTGTCTTTTTTTAAATTTAAAATCTGCAACGGAATATTATCAACGCATCTAAGAATAGCTAGTGTGTATATATATATCGAATGAAATTTCACCAGAAAATATAATTCTTTAGAGCATTACTTTACTTTGTATTTATGGATCTGTATGGTTTTTAAGAAATGTTGCAATGTTTACAAAGTCAAGATTGCTCTCACTCAGAGATCGTTGACATGAGACACACTGAAATATAAGTAACGTTAGTTGTTGTACGGTTATGTAAAGTCACATAAAGTTGCAGTACACTCTAATGTAGCGCTGTAGTTATTGATTTGGTTCTTTTGCAAGAAAATGTACAATTAAAACATCTTTAGTATTATTAATTGTTGTGATGGCCTCTAGATTTCAGTGCATATCCAAAAATCGCCATCCAGAAAGAGAAATCCTTATTTCTCTTAAGAACTACTCTTTCCAATTTAATGCAATGTTTATACATAGGACATGTATTTAAGTATGATTTCACGTAGACTACACAGTTCCTTCAAAACTTGCACAGAGACTTGAGTGAATGTATAGTTGCATGCCTTAACAACCTCTAGTCCTACGCACTAATGTATTGTCCTCCAGAGGGATGGTGCTAAATTGACTGTCCCTCAATTGATTGTGTTGTATTGATTGTACTGGATCTGAACACTCCCAGAATGCACTTTCGGAAACATCCTCCCTCCTATTAGATTGTAAAGACTTATCGACCAAAATTGATGTCTGATATGAAGATTGAGCCATCAATGTGCCCAGCGTAGTATTAGGACAACATCACTAACATAGTATGTTAGCATCTTAGCTTAATTCTGGAGAGGGTTTATGTATACCTGAAATACACTGAAATTCAAACAGGGAAAACAAAACTTACTAGTGGCTACTACATTACACGTGACGTGGTGAATGCTAAGGCTTGAAACATATTGTACACAAGTATGTGAATGCAAGTGTTTCAAGCTACATCATTGTTTCAAAATGTGTCCGACCACAATTCTCTTCAAACTCTTGCTCCACCATGACAGTCGTTGATGTAAAGAAGAAAACTTACCCTAGAAGAAGATGCAGTTTATGCTAATGCACACTGTAGTGCCCCAGCATATGCTGGTTAGGTATGTTTTGACGCTGGGATGCTGGTTTAAGCTGGTGCTTTGCTGGTTTATGCTGGTCCTTTTGCTGGTTTATGCTGGTCCTTTGCCAGCACATGACCAGCATAAAACAGCAAAAGGACCAGCATAAACCAGCAAAGGACCAGCTTAAACCAGCATCCCAGCGTCAAAACATACCTAACCAGCATATGCTTGTTTTTTCAACAGGGTTGTGAGAATGTAATACCAATTACATAGTTATAAGCATTTGTGTTTGCATACTATGAGTATGCAGACTATGTTTCAGAACCAAAAGAGCCTTTCCATGTCAGATTGAAGATTCCCCGCTCTTGCCTTTCTAACGTAAGTTCAAATTGATGTAGATTGTGTCATGGCTCTGGACACTGCGTTTACAGCACCAATCTTGAAGTAAAACTTTGCATTGGCCATTTAGAGGGTCATGAGAAATGTACATGTTCTGGGGTGTGGAAGTCAGGGTAAAAGTCCACTAACAAATGCCTTGACCAATCCTCTTGACCAGTCCTTTAGTGTACTGCATCTTTATTTGCTATCAACATGTCTCACTTTAATCTATTGTTCTATATTTTAAAAGAGAAAAAAGAAAGAAAATCAGAGCATGACTGAAAAAAAATTCTATGCAAGTGTTGCATGTGACCTGATCGTTTCTTTAGATTGTTTCTGATCTACTTTAGTACTGCATTGATTCTTGTTGTAAGTATTATTCTATTTAGTAAGAAAATTCACCCTCTTTTATACTGAGCACAGACAAGGGGCTTCTGCCGCAAAGTTCATTTTCTTTGAATAGCTCATTTTCAATCTCATGGGCTTCAATTTATTGTTATTTTTTATGTTAACGCTGAACCATAGCACATATTTGGATTGATGTAATAAAGGAATGTTCCAGGTTCAAGCTGTAATGAAAGAATCGGACAAACACAGAATCTGATCACAAGAAAGTCATAAGACTTATATAATAATTAGACGGATTAGATACAATTGTTTAGTAACCTTGTCTATATTAAGTTATATCTAATCTTTCGACTCCTCTCATGATCATGAAAAGTGGTAACACATAATCAGAAGTACATTCCCATTAAGTTTTTGTAAGAATTGGTATAAGCACTTAAACAAAACCACAAGCTGCACATTTCAGCTTTTAAACCCTCCAGAATGTTTTGTCCCATAGACTTCCATTGTAAGTGCATTACTGTACATGTGATTTGAAAGAGACGAGTCCAAATTGTTCTATTGTGTCAACAGAGCTCAACTTTTTAACTTGGAACATTCCTTTAAATAGCATTGATCAGATACTTTTATGTAAGTCAAGAACTTGCATTGTTGTAGCTGATATTAGGACTGAGAAAAGAGATTATTTATATGATCCACAATGCACAATGTAAAAGAGCATGTGTACTGTGTGATAAACTGTATGAGGTTCTGTCATAGTATGATCTAAAAACCAGATTTGCAAGTCTTAATACATGTAAATGTACATGATACAGTTTTTTCCCTTCTGTTATGGCATCACATCGTTTTCTAGAGGACCAATACAGAATCCATAACAAACACTGATTTATTTTTATTTTTCTTCTTTCTGGTGTATTAAGAAGCACAATTTTTACAATGGGTATAATTTGAGTCCTTTGTCTTCAATTCTGTATGCAATACAAACATGGAAAGAAAACGCCTTAGAACATTAACACTTCCTCTTCTGTGTAAGTAGAGAAAATATATTGCACTATTTTTTGTTATTTTTTGATGTCTGCTTTGTAATGCAATAAATGCACTAGGTAGAACAATAATTGCAATGGACACTTAATTGGTCCTCAGGCGTTGATGTAGGTACACACTTTCTCTCTCTCGCCCCTTTCATCTTTCTGACAACACGAAAAACAAAATCCTGCCTGATGCTGTATATGCTTTCTATTTAAAGAAAATGCCACTAGTTATAATAAAAAACAAAACATTTTATGTACTTTTAACACTCCAGTCGTGTCTCAATTGTTTAATCATTGCTCGCATTTGATTACAAGTGAGTTTTTTTGTTCTGTTTTTCTTTCTTTTTCATTTAGATATATATGCCAAAGAATTCATCACTGCTGTCAATAATATTCAATATTCAACGTCTTAATACACATTATTTGCCTTTTAAAGTGCTGATATCATAATCTTTCAACAAAATATGTAACTCATCCCCAAAATCTCAATTTTACACCCTTCACCTTCAAATACTAATGTGTTTTTTGAACCTTAAACCGCATAAACACATTTCATTACACCAAATACACCAAATAATGTTCTTTTTAGCAACATCATATGACCCCTTTAAGGTCGATTCAGTAGCTAAGTTATCAAGCTAGCATTAGCATCGCTGTTCTTGGTGTGTTATAAGTACCGATATCACAATGTTGTTAGAAGCTGCCATCTATTGACGTGGATGAGCATGATCGTCTCAGGAGTTTTATGTAAATCAGATATTAATGAGATTAGAGAGATACAATACAATAATTAATTAACTTCCGCCAAACGAAGCAACCTGGTCATCAAATCTTTCCACCTCGTGTTTGCCGAGCCGATGTTTGCGCTCGTTTTTTGCCTTTTGTCAGTCTTTCTGGCGTCAGATTTTTTGCTTCGACGGTCGTACATGTACTGACTGACTGGTCGTCTCCGCTGGTAAATCACAATAAGCGTTTAATTGTCTATTTTCCGCTCTTCACATCACCAAACACATAAACATAAAAAAACACATTTTATAGGAAACTATTGAGAGTACAGCCTTCAACTCATGCGAGTGTACAGCATTCAGATGGCTCTTCACAAAAACACAGTTCATTTCTTAATTTGTAAAATTAACACCAAAGTGCTGAACGCACCTTTAAGTCCACTTTTCACTGTCCTGTCCTGATCTGCAATCAATTCTTAATGGATCAAATCAAGCACTGCCCTCCTTTTTTTCAGTAAAATACACAAATTCAAAATAGAATTTACTTCAGTTTCATGTTGGCTTAGTGACATATTTTTAAAATGTCTTATTTTTTGGCAGGGTAACTTTAGTGACTGCAGGACAGATAATCATTAAAGATTTTTACAGATAGATCTGCAATCAAGCACTCCTATAAAAAAAAAAATAATCAAATGAATTTCAAACGAGTTTAGTCAGTCTAAAGGACTTTATTATTTATGCATGAACAGTTTTACTCATCCTTTGACTAAAATGGAGTATCTACAAGATGCATTCATGAATTGGTATTTTTACACAATTTAAAAATCAAACAATTATTACATGAAATGTGTAAAAAAGAAAAGATGTGTGCGGTTCTACAATGTTATGTTTGACTAACTGTCCATCTTAGGATGTCAAGTGATGACTTCTCTCTGCTACAGCTTTCTACACTTGTCATTGGTTTATCTGCCAGAAAACTGATCCCCTGGCAAAGAATCTGGTTATAAGAAACAGCACAGGACGTACAACAGAAAACGAACAACATCTGTAAATGGTTCAGCTCAGGCAAAGATGGTCTCCTCTCTCCTCTTCTTGGTAAGGATGGTGCCAGGCTTGTGCTGGGCATCTGGGTGATTGGCCAGCTCGGGCGGGCAGGTAGACACGGGACTTTCTAAGATGGCCTGTTTCAGGTCGTAGAACACAGAACAGTCTTCTTTGGTCAGGAAGGTCATCGCCATACCACTCTTTCCAGCACGACCCGTTCGGCCAATACGATGGATATAGTCTTGAGAAAAGAAACCGTTAAAAATTAATCCTCAAAATAGGCATGGGAAACAGGAAGTCCCCTGATATAACCATTTGAGAGTTCTAAAAA